CACACACACTTATTCAGTGTGTGGTCCAAAACAATGGTCACAAAGATTGTGACGTTTGACCTCTGACAATTTTGCGGACGGAGATCTGATCTTTATCTTGTTCAATTTAAGACATCAATTATAGATTTCCTGTTGCTATACCCGTAGCGCGATTGCTCCATTGTCTTATACTTCTTGTGATGCTCTTGCTGTTACTTTCAGTCCATCCGTGTGGTGATGACATGCCCTCTGTACAGTCCGAGTTCACTGGGCCTGATAAAGACTCGCGGCTCTAGACTAGGTGTACTTTCTCGCTCGGGTTAGCTTGGCAAGCACCAGGTCCCTTGTTGCGACTGCCCTATCCGATCGATCGATAAATAAACCTGACCGGTCGTGTGATTTTTGGGCCCGCACAGAGGGAGGATGAGTTCTGAATCCGTTGCTGCTTAAGTGTTAGCGGAGGATCAGTTGTGGAGCGATACGCCATGTGAGAAATTCGGAATGGAAAAAGTTCAGGCGATGATGAGACTGGACCAAGGCTTGACTCGTCTAAAATACACGCACTATTTTTCGAAGCGGGTTCGGTAAACGGATAATCATAATAAAACTTTGAACTCGTCCTAAATACGGGCTGCAATATCCACTGATATAGGCCAACGCAAAAGTCTTTTTGGAATTTTACCAACTGGCTTTTTTCGAGTTGAACGATCTTGCTAACTACGTCGGAGATAGAATTCCGGAGGAAAGCAAATATTATGAAAAAATGCTTATTCATTTTATAAAAGTTGTTCAATATATTTTCCATCCTGCTGCTTGCATTAGCAAAATACGATGACGATAGTTTTCTTTCACCTTCAGATTAGTAGCAGTTGGAATACGTTCGCACTGCGCGACGGTACCCTGGTTTGTTGTTATTATGGCTTGCTCACTTACTCATCGTAGGTCGATCGACGATCGTTTGTCGTTTTACCACAGGAACATTTAAGACCTTTCACTGACGGTGAAGGAATTTACCAGCACTTGTGCAACGAGTGTTACCAGAAACTGCCAAAGCGCTGATAATTTAACGATCTTCACCTGTTGACACCCATCGAGGATCACATGGGAATAAACACAACCCAGTCTGACTGATGTACCTTCATTACGTACTGAGGATATAACTCAATTTTAGAGCTTAGTAACTGTCAAGGTAAACTGAAGGTTGCGTGTGGGGTCAAAAAATATTCCACCCTTATAATTTCCAAATGATTATACAGCAGGTGGAGGGAAACTTTAACTGAAACTGTAGTCAGATTTGATTTTATTTTTTTGCAAATTCTCTCATGTCATTATGCCGCTAAACATGTGGCAACTTTGTCTTCAATAGAAGCTGAAAAAACAGGGCAGAACATCTGAACAGAATAGAACGGTGGAGCAGTGAGAATTGCACCGGTTCTGTCAACAAAGTAGGATCCTTGGCGTAGAGGGCGACGAAAATGAGCTACACAGTTAGAAAAAACACTGATACGTAAGCCACGCGAATTGCGGAGTGGAGAAGCATGTGAACAGGTTGGCTCGTCAACCGTGGTGCGGGACAGGACAAGACAACTCCGGTGAGAACAGTCAGGATTACCCGGGCGTCTAACATCTACTCGCCCTTCACTGCGTTCAGCAGCCCATCACACACTTTCTTGGCATCACCCAGAAGCATATCAGTATTGTCCTTGAAGAAAACTGGATTGTCAACCGCCGCATAACCAACACCCAACGTCCGCTTGACAACGATGACCTGATTTGGTAAGGAGAAAGCGAGAGATAGAATCACAAATGAGCAATCTGAACAGCTCAACTCATTACCTGATTGTCTGGATAATGGCATCAAACTGAGCGTTTGCCATGATCACGTGGGGGTGGAAAGAACAGTGAACGGACGGTTAGATCAGATCAGCAAATAGCCGAACAACATGGCACAACCACTTAGGAAAGCATGTTTTCCGAAAGTGCAATTTGAAAGGCTGTAAGATAGACAAGGACAAATAAACGATCACCCCTTGACGGAGAATAAGTTGAATCCGATAAAGTGAAATTACAGACAAGGCGCGAAGTTAACAGAACTGAAAACACCACCGATGCGCCGAAGACGACGACAATAAGAGGAAAACAGCTTGGTTTAATTCTCAAGGACAGAACCACGACTAGGTAGAACCTTAATAAACTGAATATTGCTGTTGAACGTCTCCCGCTGATTTTCACTAGAGAACAGAGATCACCTTTTCTGTTCGAGCAAAGTCATTTGAAGTTTTGTCTTAAAAAGATAGAACTATGTTCGGCAGAGACCACATATGATAAGCCAATTATTCTTAGCTCACAGTGACAGAGCGAATTAGTTGTATACAGTTCACTCAATCTCCCATCCAAGTTAAAGTAGGCCGCCAGGCTGTCGCCACTGACACGCCTTACATAAACTGTCACTCCAAGTCCCGGGACTGAGGTTGCCTGAGTGAGTAGCGTGTCCTCGTGACTATGGGGTTTACCGCGTCAATTTTTCATCACACAAGGGTGTGTAAAAAAAGATAAACCCAATAATCATAAACGGAAAAACGGAATTTGCCAGTCATAGTGACGGTTAAGCAAACGCATACCGCGACAGCGTGACAGTCTCGCGAAAACGGATAAGAATAAGAGAACAAATGATAAACTACGACGTAGTCTAATTTCGGCATCCAGATAAACACCGAAGCAAACTTTAGTTACAATGCGTCAACAGAACAAATGAATCACGTCTAGTAGATTGTGCTTAAACTTCACCGGAATCACGGGAGCCCGTCAATTACTAAGTGTCACACATATACTGGCTTCATAAAGAGCTCCTAAGAAGTTCATATTATTTCACAGGACGATAATCTTGGAGATGACCCTCGGGACAAACAAAACACGAGAGGTGGACCTTTTGTCCTATTACGCTTGCACAATGACGGATTCATAATCAAACAAAGACTGCCGAACAGATGATGGGGTATAGTGAGAATGAAACGAGTGCTAGCGCAGAAGGACAAAAGAAGCAGCCAACCGTGAAATCAAAGTCAAAGTTTGATTATGAAAAATGGTCACAACTTGTTGCTTTTCTTATCATATTGACTTTTGCGTTCAAGTAAATTGGTAGTTTGGATAATAAAACAGATGGGTAGCACTGTGCACATGGTCGGTTTTAATATTCAGCAACCTGGTTATATCGTACGACAGTTTGGGTTTCGGTTATTTAAGCTATACTCATTTCGCCAAACAACGAAAGAACCAGAAAGCTGGTAGAATAAATTAAGAGTAAGTTATATCTGTTTAACTGACAAAGGAAAAAACAAAACTTGGCATTGCCAAAACGAAGCTACAGATGACCAACAACACAAGACGCATTGCCGAAACCAAAATTTCTCTTCTTCCCCATCCATCCATCCTCCTCGTCAAGCCTCATTGAACAAGTCTTGCTCAGAGGATGCTTACGGCCACTGTGGTCAGTCTCCTGGAGGTGATACTTTACGCAGTACACAAGTTCGAGATCCAGCATATATAATCAACCTACCTTTTTCGCCAACCAGACTCGGAGCACAGGCATGCCAGCGATGATAGAGTTAGGGTCTTCTTCCGCAGCCGAGTTTACCGTATCGTTGGCTCCAATCACTAATACGACATCCGTTTTGGGGAAGTCAGCATTGATCTCATCCATTTCGAACACCATATCGTACGGTACACCAGCCTCAGCCAAAAGCACATTCAACTGACCGGGCATACGACCTGCATCAGGCATCAAAAACGAAGGTGGTCAGTCACGGAATTTGATGTGAACAATCTTAGAAACCATTAGTGAACAAGTGATATCAACAGCCTGACGCAGCAAAACGCACTAGGGGCAATCGCTTAGCAATCAATCAAGTAATGATATGACTCTGTGTAAAAAAAAAGAAGTCAATCCAATGCATTACACTTTGTGAGTTCTTTTTGGCTACCGAGATTGAAACATTTTGCAAAACGAGCAGCTACATACAGAAAAATATACCAATAAAATCATGAAAATTTAAGGACAAAAAAACGAACTCACCAGCAACTGGATGGACAGCAAATCGGATGCGTTTTCCTCGCTTAGTTAATTCTTTAGCCAATTCCGCTAGCGGGTATTGAGCTTTAGCTACACAAAGACCGTAGCCAGGGGCGACAATTACCTCCTTGCTATCCTCCAGGAGACTGGCCACAGTGGTCACATCAGTTTCGCGGTGAGTGCCTACAGTGGAGGAGAGTCGGAAACGACGATACCGTTTGATCAGTCAGAGTTAAAGGTGATTTTTTGTACAGGATAAAACAGTTTATAGAAAATTATGTTCTAGTTTAAAACACTGTAGAATAGTGACAAGAGTACATAAGGCAAGTTGTTGGAGATTCGAGTGGCAGTATGAAAAAGAACACTAACAGACGATGGTGAATATATCAAGAGATTCTTCACCATCAAGATCAGACAAAATCGGAACAAGGGACAACTGAGGGCCATTTCAAAGCTCCGCAGTACAGAAATGTGAGGGTAGCGGTAGATAAAACGGAATCAAAGAGCAATGCTAATGGGAACAATAGAAATTGAAAAAAGCGCGAAAACATGCACTGAAAATACAGCTAATATCATGCAGGCATTTAGGCGTAAAGAACTTATCTCAAGGCGGCGCCACTCCTTCCATCATCCGGCAGTGAAAATGTGCCTAACGCACTAACAAGAAATCTGGGAAATGTCAATCGGGTGCCGCCAACCCCGTAAAAGTGTCATCAAATCTCATCACTACTTGAGTTCACATTGATCATCAATCAGGTCAAGAAAAATTCTCCCATGTTACACACGCCACATCAATGACTCGGAACTGGAAGTGTCGATGATATCAAATGTCACATTATCATGCACGTTTCTATAGAACGCTCAAATATAGTAAACAGTTGGAGGGACTAACCTCAACCAGACAAGTATCGATTGACAAGCAATCATGACCGAAAGCTTCGAATGATGAATCACATGAATCTTCACTGTGTGGTAGTATCGAATCAAAAACACCTAAGTTGACGCACTGGTTTAGTCGCTGTCGCCGGCGTACTTTGGACCCTATGGCCCGAGGTTCGAGCCCCGCCACCATCACCCAACTTTGGTGGTAGACAGCTTTGCTGTAGTTCGGTTCAATACTACGTCTGATTTATCGGGGCCTTATGTGGTTCGCCACTGCAAGTCCCGGGGATTGGGTTGAAGGCTTCCATGACGGAGCAGCAGGTTTTCGTNTGATTATGAGGTTCGCCCCGTCTGCTGTTCATAACACTTAAGTGTGTAATAAAAAACCGTTTGGCGTGTACTTGCAGCAGTAGAAAAATGAACAGTAATGTAAAACGGTACAAGCAAACAGCAGTATAACCATCTGCCAGCTAAGGACCAGCAACGTTTGCAAACCCTGGGACGTTTTTCAAGTTCCATAAACTGGTAATGGATGTTTCTTAGTACAGTAGACAAAAATACTTGAGAACGAGTGTTGTATAAACGACTATACCAAATACTGTCGAAACCAAAAAGGGAATGCAAGCAAAACTGGGCCACATCTTACAATGCCATAGGTGACTACTAGATACGGGATAAGTTGACCTCAGCAAGTGACAGATAAGGGATACGGTGAGATCGACCAAACCCAAACCCTAATTTACAATGAAGGATAATATACCACAACAGCGGTCAACGTAAACAATAGGTGGAATCATTATATGAACAGACCACTCGTTCAATTTGCCCCCATTCTGGTGAAAAGAGGAACTAAAATTACACCAATTTTAAAAACGCCCAAGCAGTTGATCCACCATGTCTTCGACACCGCGAATAAAATACACGGATCGCACGAACAGGGCTTATTTGTCCCTTGGAGAGAAAACCCCTTCATCTAATAGCGATATATATGTATATATCATCACCATTTAGGAATATCTGAAAACGAACTTGTCCGCTACTGTTGCCTCGTTTCAAATGTGCTCTGTGGGGCCATTCAGACAAACGAACCATAGTCAAAGTGAATGACCGAAAATGCGCCGTGTGATGGGGGGTAAAATATCATCAGGATTTCATGATTGCAGGCAAAAATCAACTCGTACCAGGCAGCCAGTGACGTTTCACACACATTGAAGCATAAGTTGGCAAATAGAGGTTAGTTGAACTGTGCCTTAAAATTTCCTACCCATTTTTTAAGAGGGTTTTGCCAAATATGAATCAATATACCATTGGATTCCTTAATTCTTTCACTTACATCAATTATCCGTGGACCCGTGCTCCCAAAAACAGACTGAAAATATTGTAACTGTTAGCAATAGCCACAGTCTTCTCTGAATCTCGACATTCTTCTACCCACCACTTCTCACATTAACTTCTCAGGTTCTTGATGAGCTGGCGTTGGAGAGATTTATGACTGAAGTTAGTATCCAGAGAAATGGCTGTGCTAGAGCCCATAAAAACACGTGAGTTAAAAGAGATGCACCGTTTGTGCTTAGATCGTATGTCAGAGTCCAGTTGTTTTGTTCCACATTTGAATAGCTTCCTTGATCAACCTCCAGAATTCATTGAGTTGTGGTTGAACGCAAAACCGATAAAAGAGTTCGGCTTTGAAAGTCGAGTTGGCAGCGATTGCTTGCCCTGTACTTGAGGAATCCGTTTCCGGTAGCTTTGTTGCGATTTTCTATCAAGCTTATGTAGACCCTATCCGGTAATAAAGCACAATCCGTATCCACGGCTGATGACCAGTGACAGTAGATATCTTGAGTGATCCCCCTCCCCCAGTGGTAGCCTATGTCAATTTGAGGAATCTGGATCTATCTCTGTGAAAATGTAACGGGTTACCATGTGAGGCGGTGTCGTTTCTTGTTCAAGAAGTTGGTGCCTAATAGAAGCAATCTGTGGTCTGTACAAAGTTGAAGAAGATGATCTCCGTCCTGCTAGCTTGGATTGCATATGGCCTCCTCGGCACCTTCCTAGAATGTCCAGGGATCCCACTAGGGCGTTGACTGGTAAGACATCCGTTGAGCGAATACTTTGAAGCAGTTGGAAGAGGTCATTGTAGAAATCATACATTTCAGATGAACTATAATAAGTCGGTGTATATGAGGCGAATAAGTATCGACACTTTATTCTGTTACTGTTGAAAAAATGGCAGATCAGTGATGATTTGAATTCAATATCTCACATAAGGTTGAAGCTTTTTCTTACTCTTTATTACACACCTTTTGGCGTGATGAACAGCAGACAGAGAAACCCCAGAGTCACGATGACCTGCTGTTCAGTCACGGGAACCGGCAACCTAAGCACTGGGAGAACCACATAATGCCACGATAGGCTGGGTATTGAACCGGGCCGCATCGGAAATATCAGCAGTGAACATGTTCAAAATTCGGTTCATCATCACACCGTGGTCACTGCTGATTAGTATGTGATAGAATTGAATATATTTCCTCGAATAAGTTGGTTTTGTTTCAACCCTCCATATATCAGTAAGTTCAAACCCGGATGTTAATGGCAGACCTTGTCGACCAGGCGAGGGTAGTTCTACAAACTTAAGTATCCTTTAGCAAGCGGGTGCCAGTATGTGACTTGGAGTATCGAGTTACCAGATGACGTCAAACTGCAGTGCAATTCAGTCTACCCTAACAAACAGAACTTGGCGTTGCAAAGTTTTTGAAATAATGTCATCGCGACGGTTCCCAACCGTGAGGGTAATATCAAGGAATAATTAATTATACAGATGGTCAATTCCTTCATCACCTGATGCATTCAGAAAAAAAACCAATCATCTGAAGGATACAAAGCACAAAATAAGCATTTTACACAACTTGCTAATTATACGATTTTGGCCAAATAAAGCGAATGAAACGATTAACAATCGGATGTAGGTCAAGAAGAAAGTGTCCGGCAGACGACACTCACCAGTGATAGTCATGGCTTGGCCTCCGGCGTATGAACTCGTTCCATAGCCACCCATGATGACGTTGGGTAGCGAGCGATTCATAGCTTTGCACATGATGTACGACAGAATAGCACCACTTGATCCGATCAGGGCACCAACCACAGTCATGAGGCTATTGTTCAGCATGAATCCTTCAGCGCATAATGCCCAACCGGAATAGCTGTTCAAAACCGTAATGACAACAGGCATATCCGCACCTAAGCGAGAGCAAANGCAAAATAGAAAACAATTAGATCAATCCAAAGTTTTATAAGAACAAAAATACTGATCATGTTTATTTACATGCGATATAAATGTTTGTGATAACTAACAAAGAGCACTGGACAGCTGTTTCGTCCTGTTCGGGACTAGTCAGTAGTGCGTACTTTTTCTGTTCCTGTCAGGACTCGAACCGTGAACGTTCGGATTGGGACTTCAAACCCTTACTCCTGAGCTACACGGTCGGCGGCTATCACCTTGTGCGAATGGCTCAATCAATTTGAGAGTAGCAAGCTTAGGCTAATCGCAGCTTGCTACTCTAATATTGGTCATGTTATTTTAAACAACTTCGTGGCAGTCAATGGAAGCGTTTTTTGGGAAAGGAACAACGTTGCAGAGAGAACTAGTTGAAAAGGAACAAAACGAACAAATATAACAAAATTTCAGTGGTGCAGGCTCGATTGCGCGTGGTGAATGGTAGTCAAGATGAAATATGAGGCGTCACTGGTTAAAATTGGGGGTACCCTAGATGGACTGAACTAAAGTATTTTCTATCATACAATAAACTCTGATCCGTTTATTTCCATATGAAAATCCGATAATGAAAAAGATGATACAAGTGAGCGGAGCATGTGACGGACAAAGGTTCACACTAGAGGTGAACTGTGTTATCCAAATACTGTCGGGGACGAAGAGACCGAACACATGTGGGATGATAAAAGAAATTCGCATCAAGGCACAGACCTATATCAGACTGTCTTCTGTCGATAAACTGTCTGAAACCAGCGACCTATCACTGATAATATGGCGCGAAGTATCGAACCCAAATGACGAGGCTATTCCCTGAAATCAGCTGTTTGCCCGCAGTCCCGAAGTTAATTTTACACACTCACTAACCAAAACATGTGCTCTACGCACGGAGACTAATGCAAAATATGAAACAACTGGCGCCAAATACCGCCTCGTGAAGGATAGTCATTTCGCCAATGTTGAGCAGTCAAACTCACTACTATAAGTGCATCTCATTTCCGCATTATTGATGCAAACTGTGCTCATGACTAAAAGTAAATGAGTACAAGACTTTCATAAGAAAGCCTGATGCTAAAACCATTGGTGGATGATACTGACAATAGAAGGTAAATGAGGGAGGGAAAATATGATCTGTGTTTGTACCTTTGGTCAAACGATAAGATTCGATTGATTTGATGGCAGAAAGTTAAGACGCGTCTTCGAAAAGACTTTAAAATCTAAATGCTACCATCACCACCGTTCGTATAAACAAGGTGATTACACTAGTATTATTATTATATTTCACAAATTAATAAAAACAGTGAACTGAGGAGCCTCAGACGAGTTCATAATTTTCACAGGAAAAAATTAAATTAAATTAAATTTACCCATTTATACTAAAAATAAACTATCATCAAGGTAATTTCATAAATCCAATTCATCTATCGGCACATATTTTCAGTTAAAATGCAATACGCTCAATCAAAGAGTCACAATGTCCCGGCTGATCACTTGTTTCTTGCAATCCTTATTACGTGTAGGACAGATGATATGTAAGGCTCGAAAATCGCGGAAACTGTTCAAATTATGTTGCTCATTAGGTAAATACCGGTGTATTCTAGGAAAAACCTGTCGTGACAGTCAGCTTACATGCTACCTGGTGGATTTCATATGCCTCGGTAAGTCGGATGGGTGATTTAAATGTGAAAAGACCAGTACTGTCAGCGTGGCCTCCTAGCTCAACTGGTGGAGGGTGCACTATACAGCGGCGT